CTGCGCACGACGCTTCGTGTGACATAATCCCTGAGCCGCGTCAGTGCGGGCAGCCCTGCTCTTAATCAGAGGCTCTGTTCAAAAACCTGGGCTGCATCCTCCAAGGACGCGGTCTACCTAGACTGGATCCTTCGAAGTCCTTGAAAATAAGGAGGCCGGAAGAGTTTTGTCTGTAAATTCGAACAGGTCCTCCCTTCGGCGGGTTTTACCGCTGTACGCTCTGTTGCTTAGCAACCGTGAAAGTTGACACACAAAGCAGGAAAAGAATGAATACCGAGGTTTTCAAAACTGTTTGTTTATTTATTTATTTAAAAAAAAAGTTAAAGTGAACAAAGATTACACTCACAAGAATCCAGAGTGGAATAAAGGTTCCAACCACCGGGAGCAGGAACAAATAAAATCAAGTGTAATGATAGAAACCTTAGTCAGTTAAATAACCTGCTGCTGTCATTCTGCGCATCTCTGATGTTGCTGCTATTTTCAAATATCCATTACTGTAAAAATGTCCATAGCTGCATATTGGTTATTAATTCTCCAGTTTTATATTTTTAAAACACTTTACAGTATTTTATTGTTTATATTTTAACTCTTCCCTATCATGTTATTCTTATACATTTTTCTAAGGTCCACATTTGTGTGACCATTTTCAATAATCTTTCTGCTGCTGTAAATCTGCCCATTGTGGGACAATAAAGGGATTTTCTATTCTATAAAAGGGTTAGAAATATATAAGTAAATCTAAACAATGTATTTATAAAAAATATATCTGCAAAATCTCTAATATTCAACAAAAAAAATACTTAGTTAAGCATATTGTGCAAAACAACAATAAAAATTTTTAACTCTTATCAGATTTATTGTCTCCACGTGCTGCAGATCTATTAGAATCTGTCCTTAAATTCCAGCCAAACCCATTTACACAGTAACAGATTAAAACCTTTAAATAAATCAAACATTACCGCCACATATCTGACTCAATAACCATTAAAACAACTATTTTCATTCATTTCAGACGGAACTATTCACAGAGTTATATTATATTAAACTGAACTTCCAATTTTCACCACTGTTCTGCGCCAAGTAACATTTCCTCTGATCACGGAGCAAATCCCGATGATGAGACATTTGTTCTTTCAATCAACCCCAAACCCCCCCACCCGCTCCAAGGTGTCCTGGTTTTCCCAAATGAAAATATGGTCACCCTAGGTAAGGCCCTTCACTCTTCAATTCAAATCCTCGCCTTCTGACTACCATGCCGTGTGACTACGTTGGTGCTCTTCAGGAGATGGCGAGCATTTGTTTAAAAGAAAAAAAAACACATGAAGTGCATTCTGCATCTTTGACGCCAATAAACTGTAAACAATCATGAACTCAGCATCATTTTTTTTGCTTTAGAATTATTTCTCTTGCTAATACCAGTGAAGGCTGATTTATACTCAGAAAAAAGGTCATCTGTGTGTGTCACAGTGAATGCAGATGTGCCCCCGCCCCTTCCGCAGACACTCTTGTGCACCTCTCCAAAATTGTAGGTGACAGCAGACAGGAGGCCTCTGATTGGTCAAATCTACATCTGCTCTACACTATGCGTATTTCCTTATCGGCTTGTTTTGTTTGCATGACCAACATTGTGAAAAACGACTTGTGAAGTTGGACCCTTTTTCCACCTGGATCTCTGCTCTTTTTCACCCTCATGTCCCTCTGTTGTCAGACAAACTTGACCCCACTTCCTCACCGCCTCGGCAGTATCTAAGCCCACAGCTAGTTTCTGATTGTCCCTCTTGCGTTGTGGCGTGGAATAACATAGCACAGACCATGTTTCAATATTGGGCGTAAATCTAAAATATCTGCGCCAAGTTCACTACGACACACTGCTAGGGGAATATAACCAGCCCACGAGGTTCCATTTAGGAACGAACATCTACACTAAGGAAAATTCCTTCTAAACGGACATTATCAATTAATCGGATTGATCTGATTTTAATCTAATAAACCATAAATCTTCAATCATAGGTCGATTATTTATTTACATCTCTTATGCTTAACCATAATTCTATTGTGATTAAACTAAAACCTGGCGGTAAGACCCCCAAAAACTTTAAGACTACAACTCAAGTGGCCTACAGCCTCTTAAATTCGATCCTCATTAAGATTTTATGAGTGACATCACACAATAGCTAAGAAAGTCCTTCAAAGAGGATAATAGAGTCTACATGTATCAAACCCTTAAACAGCAGCATGTTATGCAGGACCATTTTAAAAATTGGACATATAGCTATTCTTCAGAGTCCTCCAGAGTCTACCCTCAGTATGGTCTTATTGTATTTGAAGTAATCGAGAAATGCAGTTCACATGGCAGTGTATTAATCAAAGTGAACACTTTGTTTCTCCTAAAGCCACTAATGCATCTCAAACAGATAATCACTGAGAGGGCAGCGAATTACTGAGCTATATTTAGTTCAGAAAAGTCTGAGTTTGGAATCTGGCAAAAAGGTAATCGAATAATAAGGCAGAATTTGTTGTTTAAACCATAATTAGTGATGCTTTTCTGTGTATATCTGTGCTTTTGTAATGTTTGCCAGAACCGAGTCAACTCCTCAATTTCATACCTAACTGTCTCTGCTTCTATCATACAATTGTAGACAAACCATTTCAGTCAAAAGATGCTTTTTTATTCTGTTTATTTTGATTTTCTCTGTAATTATTAAATAACGTTGGAGGTAATTTTCCATTAAAACACTGTTTAATATGTGTATCATATTATCCCTGATCAAAACAAATGATCTCCAATCTGCTGCCCTGCCCTTCCTACAGGGTAAGGGAGTATGAGTTTATATGAAAAATCCAACAGCATACAGCTGCATCTGTGAAAATAGTGTTGGTATGAAATGACTAAGCAACTAATTTCCCATCCAAGATAAACATAGTTATCAAATCCTCTTCATTTATTATACAGTAATTATTCACACACAAACAAGCTGCTTCCAAAAGGTAACTGTGCTGATTGAGGGTTTTAACTTTTTTTTAAAACAAATTCTGTGTTTATTGTAAGAATGCCTTGTCAAATATTAATTACACCGTATTTTCTAGACTATAGAGTGCATCCCACTATATGCCATACCCACTAAGTAAAAAAATAAAATAAAACTGGAAATGCACATTTGTAAACCACACCAGGCTATAAGCTGCTTATATCTACTCACTGTCCCCCACCAAACCTGTAGGGGGACCCCTATATATCACCCCTACAGTAGGGATGAAGAAGAACACTAGCTCCCGTTAGCTTGTTGTCTGGTGGCAGTGTCGCTTCCCGATCCGTCCCGGAAGCACAATCCGTACCATCAGCCCATTTGCGCATGCGGAACCACATATACATCCAGGTCAGGTAAAAAAACGACCTAAGCTACGTTTTTACCTCCCAAAAAATAGCAAGCGTACTAAACTATAATGTGTTAAAGGTTAATGTATTTCCTGGGAAAATAAATGCCTTAAAACCCTTTCTGTTTTATCACTTGTCTCAGCCCGATCTGTTCAGGATATGGGATCCTACGCTACTTCAGGGAGCTAACTTTTTCGGCTTTGGATTTAAACATAAATCTAGTCTTTTTGAGTTTTTTTAACTTTAGGTATATAGTGCGTAAAGGGCTAATTATACTCCCAACAGCAGTGTATGGCAGTGAGCTGGATGCAGACATTTTTGATTTATGCTCAGTATTGAAGGATGGTCTGCGCCATACGCTGTGGGTCTAGATACAGCCGAGGCGGGGAGGAACTGGGGCAAGTTTGTCCGGCAACGGAGGGACATGACGGCGAAAAAAGAGCGGGGATCCAGGTGGAAAAAGGGTCCCAGCTTTCTCGCACACCTCACTGTTCTAGCTGGTCCATCTTCACGAGTTGTTTTCCGGAATTGCGGTCATAAAAACAAAACAAGGCGATAAGCAGATGTAGATTTGACCAATCAGAGGCCTCCTGTCTGCGGCACTGTCTGAAGTCACCTACAATTTGGGAGAGTTGCAGCAGAGCGTCTGCAGAGGGGGCGGGGATGTCTTTTTGTTCACTGCGACACCTACGCAGCCGACCTAGTTTCAAAGTATAATCTGCCTTAACCCAAATAAAGAAGGAACTGAAATGCAGATAAACATGGTTTAATCATATTTTGCGGGACTGCTCTGAGAAGTTTGGTCATGATGACAGACAAGCAGCTCAACAAAAAATGTAAAAAGCATAAAAATTGTCCCAGAAAAATCATAAAATTTTTTTTAAAGATCTGTAGTAGCATTCTTTAGTGAGTAAAGTATTGAAATAAGTAATTTTAGTTCTATAATTAGATGAATTATGGAAACCCGAGTGTGTATCTGCTTGTGCATGCGCAAAGGAACCGATGGTAAGGATCGTGCTTCCGGTACGGATCTTGTAGTGACAGGCAGTAAGAGCTCCACAGGAGTTGTGCACAGTCTCTTCATTGGTTCAGTATTTAAAATGCGGCAAATAAAAGTCAAAATGTGTGAATTCAGGACATTTGTTCTGTGCTGCTTGCATATGTTTGTTCTAAATGAAAATGACCCCCTTCATTTTCAAGCTTTGACTTCTGCCCCCTGGTGGAAAAATCCACAGAAAAGCTGCACTTTTTTAGAAGTCGTGTGGTTCAAAGCGTGGGGGGAAAAAATGGCGGCTTCTAGTCCAGAAAGTAGGGTACCCTTAATGATGATCAATAGAAGGCCTCTTTGCCTTCAACCTGACCTCCACAGATTCTCTGTCAGATATAAAAGGCCTGCTGGTGCTGATTAACTTTAGTATTTTCTTTCAGAGAAAAGCTGTCGCTAACTAAAAAGAATGTTCAAATCTTTAATTGCAGCAAAAATTCAGCATGGAGATGTTTAAAGATTTCAGTGTTAAACAAAAATCTGAGCCTTTGAATTCCTTGTTTCAACATTGAAGTGGATCATGCTCCTACAACTCACGTCTCCATCCTCTCTCTGTCTTTTCCATCCACTTTGTCCCAGGTGTTGGACAAGCACAAGGCCATTGACAGCATGGTGGAGCTGCTGCAGGTGTACCCGGAGGAGGACGAGGCGTACGGAGAGCTGCTCGAGGCCACCACCCAGCTCTACCACTACCTGCTTCAGCCTTTCAGGGACATCAGGGAAGTGGCCACTCTACGGCGACAGCAAATTAAGGTAATTGACACACGTACACAGAAACAAATACCATCTGTTTTTAGAGCTCTTTTTAAGAGGGTTTAGACCTCCCTGTAGCCGGATTACTCATTTGCCCTTGAAGACAGTTTGTCTCTCATTGGGTGCACTTCGTAGATTTGTGGACTCTGCTGTAAAAGTGGTCACTGCGGTTTGATTTGAGCAAGGATTAGATCAATGTCCCTCCTCCAGTGAGCATACCCACCCCCCCATAAGCCCACTACCATGACTTAACTGGTACATGCTGAGGCTTGTGGGGTTGCGGTGATGATAATGAAGATGATGATGGCAGAGGATCAGCCGGAGAGGCTTTTTTTTTTTCTTTTTTCCTCGCCTAGAGCAGATTAACGACCAGCCTAAGTATTATTACAGCAGTCACTAAACCACTCAGTAATTCTGCAGCCTCAGCTCTCTCCTGTTTTCTATACTATTTCTCTACTCTCTTTATTTCCTTTCTTTATCAGGGGCTGAAAATTAAATCAGCTGTGTGTTTCACATCTAGTAAAACATGCCCTATTTGGGTCACTTATTCTAGTTCTGGGGAGGATAATTGCTCAACAATTGCAAACATGATGAGTACAGTTTTTTTATTTTTAAATAAGCGAACTGGGAACATTTATCTGTATAAGTTGAACCCAAATAATCATTTTTTTCCTGCATTTACAAGTTTAGTGCTGTATATTAAAAATATCTTACCAGAAAAGGTGCAAGTTTGAAGGCAATTTTTTAAAATATTTTGCTGCTGTATCATCTTGATGTAAATATTAAGGCATTCTGTATCCCTTTATCAGGGATTCCAGCAACTTTTGGTTTATTTTAGTTGACTTCTACAACTAGAGTTTCACCGACCCGATACCTGGATCGGATATCAGCAATTTGATATCCGATATCGGAGATCCAATCGATTGCTCTTTACATGCAACTGTTATTTTTTTCTCTTTTCTGCTTGTATGTTCATAAATAATATAAAGTGTGTTTATATTAAAAAAATTACGGCATCAGCCTGGTTTTTTTTAGCATTACAGGTGACCTTTTTGTAGCTGAAATACGCTAGCGAGAAACCTGCCATATGTCTGCCGTGGCTCCATCATTAGCAGTAGTGTCCATTTCTGGGTTCTGTTTATCAGTACTTGTTGTGAAATTCTTATTTACTGAATTATGACTCTTGGGCTAACATTTAGTCGGTAGACTGGGCTCCCATCAACCTCCGGCTAATATATAAACTAATAAACTCTGGTCGACTCCCTTTTTAGAGGCACGGGTCAGTATCCAGTTTTGCAGGCTTAAAACGATGTTGGCTCCCCTTTACTAATGGGTGGACCTGATTTTTTGATTCAGTTTGCATGTTTTCTATAGCATGATAAACCAGACTAAATATGAGATTAAATGTGTAATTTAGTCTGGCCCCAATGAATGAGACATTGGAAGATTGTTGGTGAGAACAACCTGTTGCTTTTCAAACCATGTCTGTGCCTATTGGCCAACGCTCTGACCAACAAGCGTAACTGACTGTGACGTAGGAAGGGCAACAGAAAGCTAGTGGGGGAGTGTAAACAAACAGCCTGTCGATAAAACTACGAATACGTCCTTCTTAAAAATGAAAGAGCGTAGAGCCTCTTCCTGCTCACATTTCAACGAAAACCCCAAGTCTGATCCTTCCAAAACTGATTACAAAGCTGAGTCAAAAATCGCCATCAGAGCCAGTGGTCCTTCACACATGACTATGCCGAAGGAGGGCCTCTGCAGACGGGCTGCCGTTTGCCTCGGAGGTCTGCTGGTTGCTGCTGTCCTCTCAACTTCGAAAATTGTTTTTTTTTATTACGCATTAAATCGGTAAATGGACCATATAGTGACACTTTAAAGTATAATATTCTCACCTCAAATGATCTTAAAACTTACTTTATTGAACAACAGCAACAGAAAAGAAAATGTTAACTTTTAATGGAGCTCCATTGAAAGCTGCTGCTGCCGCAGTGCATGATACTGTTCAATACTTGTTGCCATCTTCCTTGTTGTGCTTTCTCCAGCGTCGCACAGCTTTGTCGCAAGCAAAAATAATTTTGGCTGCTGGTGGGTGGGGCTAGTTTACTAGGCTATGTTTTCTAAGCCATAACAAGGCTTTTGTTTGGGCCACTCTATAAGCCTGGAACTCAAACGCTACTCCTGATATTTTATATTGAGAAATGGGAAGCAAAACATTTTCAAACTTGGAAAACAAAGTTGGTGGTTTGTTTTTTTACTTTTTTGGAATATATAAACTAACACATCAACGATAATTATTACAGGTCATGTTTTACTGACCTAACCAAGAGAAGGAAAAAAAAGTTAGCTAGCATCTGCTATTTTAGAGCAGCAGTATGAAGGCACTGATAGGTTTTATTATCTTTGGCTTTGTTGGCTAATCTTGAGGTTATGTCAGAAACTCATTTTTTTCAAAGTGATCTGAATCACTACGATGCAGGCTCTCTGCAATGGTTGCCTCCATTGACAGTTTACTTCCTGCCCTCCCTCTTAAGTCACGCGTCATCAAATTGACAAAAAGGCTTCTAGTTTTTAACAGTTGAGTTTGAAACATAGAAAAATAAACATATTGTCAGTATCAGACAGGATCTCACAAATGAAGACAAGACTAATCCAAGCTGATTTAGTCAATACTTTACTCATCTGAACCCTTGATGAACCCATATTTTGGGCTGTTCTTTGCCACCATTCACTAACCTAAAACTCCCCTTTCCTTTCTCTTTAGCAGCTAAAATTAGTTTGAGCTGAGCAGCACAAAAATCCTCATCTTAACCGTCATTTTTTAAAATCATTTTACTGGAAACACACAAAACTAACCCAGACTTGTGGATCATTGTGCATATTTTATTCGGCTGTTCTGGCATAATCGGGAATGGTTTGTGTTTTCAGAGGATGCAGCTGGGTTTAGGGAACTAAAGTAGTGTAATTTACCACTAGAGGGATTCACCTAAGCAAAAAAAAAAAGGCTGGGAGTTCCTGTATTAGGCTAACCTCTCTTTCAAGCTGTCTGAACAGATTTGGTGTATTTTGTATAAGGATAAAAATGCAATGCACTATTGACAGCTTGCTATCACTGCATCAGATTCTACTGCTTGCCGTCTCTCTCATCTATAACCATCCAGTGTCATGTATCTAAATGTTACTCTGTGCCATTCTGCATTAACTTCTCATGGTCACATCTCACATGGTGAGTTGACTTCAACCACCTTCTGCTCATTGTGGTAACTTTAGGTTTTAGTTGCATCTATCGACTTCTTTACTGCATACAAATCAGTTTGTCACAAACAGCTAGGGTCAATACCTAGGAAAATATTGGATACCACTTTAGATACCATGGAAACAAGAAATGCCTCATAATTAAAGGTGTAAAAATATATTTCTTAATCTAAAAAAGTCCCAATTTTTAATCTCCACATGGAACAACAACAGGATCACAGATTCTATTAGTGCGCAAATAAATGCAAAATAACCCAAATATAACACAATTTGACAATATTTGAAGCTTGTTTGGTGTATTTTTATTTTAATGTGAAAAAATCTAATATTTACAGTAGCAAAAATGTGCAAAAACACTTGCATATTATCTATTTGATTCCAAATTAGTATACACAGCATTCAATTATTGATACTTTTCAGAGTATAGATGCATTTGACAACTCTAAAAACAGCTGCAGGCCATGACCCTGCAGCTATTCTGCAGACTCCCTGGCGCCGACCTCATGCTATCTTTTTGTCTCATATGCCACTTAATTGGTTAATTGAACCAAACAGTAGCAGGGATTGACTTGCAGTCATTTATGTCCCACGGTATAACAGTCACACTCTGACAGATGAGCTTTAACGCTCCCTTTCAGTCAACAATGAACAACATGATCAGAACTTTCCCTTCCCTGCCCTGCATTCCTCACCCAGCACGCTCATCCAGCACAGTTTCACTTACCAATACAAACAGCTCTGTGCATATGGGTGTCTCCTTGTCCCTCCATTATGATGGTATTTATGTTCTTGTGTGGTCTAAATAAAGAATTTACTGTCAATTTCTTAAATGCTACGATACTCATAGAGCAAAAAGCTGTTTGCATTTCACCTTTTTATGTGCCAGGGAATTTACCAGTAAGTCTGACAACAATGTAGGATGGTGCCTCATGATTTCTTCTATTTTGTCTAGAGCTGTAGGAACTATTTTTGGGCTCAGCAATGAGTCAGAGAGTTGATCTGTGAGGAAGAGGGGAAGAGTATTATCATCTCTATAAAGTTGGATCAGTCCATCCTGCTGCCGGGACACCAGAAGATGTAGTTTAAACCGTTTTAGTCAGTATATTAGTAGTATATTAACATGATTCATTGTTAATTCATAATTAATTAAAGGACTTATCATTGTTGTGTTAATTTAAAATATTATCTTAAGCTTTAATAATGTGGTGATTGTTTTTTTTTAGCTAATTTAAAAACAACCCATTAAATCCGTGAAAATTCAGCTCTAAAGTAGAGATGAGATAAGTTTGCATCTGAATACATAGGGAAGCATCAGACCTAATTTTCGGTTAACGTTAAAAGGATTTAATTTTCTTCAATGTTTTTGTTTTTATAGATGGAAAATCTGCAGGATGCCTGTTTTTTTTTCCAGCTCTGCCACCTGCTTCCCTCAGGGCACTCCAACGGCTAAAAACAAAGCTGTATGCAAACGAATATGTGTTGTCGACTCATACAGGAAGTCGTGTTTTCTTTTTCTTTCTTTCTTTTTTTTTCATTCAAAGCTCATGAGGGAAGCAAAAGGAGTTGGGAACTAGCTCATACACTTTCATTTACATGCTGTTTGCATTGTGATTTACGTTGCTGTTAAAACAGAGGAGCAGAGAGGGATTTTTTTATCCTGTCAGGTCTGCAGCCTTACCGGACCTCTTTTGTTGCTGTGAGTGTAAAATACTTGTTGGGTGTGTGAGAATGCAGCCAAACCCTGA